GTGGGAAAGGACAGAGGGTCAGAAAGAGGGGTAAAAATAATTCTAGGAACTAGAAATAGAAAATTTTTTATAATATGCATGATTAAGTCACTATGTAGTATATTCTGGATGGGAAATCACACTTTGTATGCTGTGATAATGCTTAGAGAAAAAAAATGTAAATTAAGTTACAAAAAAAAAGTTTCAGGGAAAAAAAATATCTGTTCAATGACTGCAGTAAGTTATATAGCCTCAGCTAGGTGCTACTTTATGGGATGCGTAAAGTTAGACTTGTGTTCATGGAAATGTATATATCACCTGTGTTTGCTATGAAAATATTTAGATAAATTAAGGTATTTAGTAGTTCAATAAAATGGGGGAAAACAGTATAGAAAGCAAACATAGATACCAGAGACAGTGTGGGAGGAGAATGGGAGATGGCAGAGGGTAAGAGATAGGGAGTCAAGGATGAGAGAAAAAAAGCAAAACATACAGAAAACAAGAAATGAAAAATTATTTGCTGACAATAACATGTTTGTTGATGTGCTTGACTGAGACAATATACAGTGTACTCTGGATGGAGAATCTCATTTTGTATGCTGTAATGGGCTACAGTGAATGAATGCAAATAAATAAATTGAAATTTTAAAAAAAGGTTTAATTGAACAGAAAATATAATGTTCTTTCTTTGTTTATGAGTTTTTGCCTTAGGGCATCTCTTTTGCAAGAGAAACAGAGACAGTGAGAGGAAAAGTGAGAAATCACCCCCTCCCCCAAGGCATGGCCATAATGCAATCCCTTCTCCTCCGTTCTCTTTTTGAGATCTTGGGCACGCATGCATGCACACGTGCCTGGTGTGAGTTTCAAGCCACATGATCCGGGACTGGAACTGCACTCAGCCATGTGGAAGTCCAGCAACATAACCACTATGCTATCTGCTGGCCCTGAAAATATATCATTTCTAATCCTCTATATATCTAATAGCTTATGTTCAAAGTACATGAAATTTTAAAATTCATGTATTACTGAAAAGTCATAGTAAGATATTTAAAATACATCTCATGAATAATAGGTAAGCACATAAAATATCATTATGGGTGAAATTATGTAAACTGCACAATAAATAAGTTCAATTTAGTGGACACTATAAAACACTATAATCAAAAACTGGAGAATATACATTCCTTTGAAGACTATATGGAATGTGTATCAAAATTGACTGCTTAATAGTTTCATTAAGTCCCAATAAAAATCAGTGTCATGTAGCCCACATTGTTTGATCATAACCAATTAAGAAATCAATCCCAATTTTTTTAATATTTGGAGATTAGAATGAAGCAGATACTAAATCACATATCTTATTACAAGGACATAACTTCAAGAACACCATCTGTTGCATTCAGCTTATTGGGAAATTAGGGAGCTCAGTAAATAGCATTCCACTTCTCACTTGAATTTAGAACTGATAGATTGCATAAAAAGTCAGGCAGATGATGATAAAGTTATTATTGACAAAATGTTTTTTGGAGAACATGACTTAGGTGTGTATAAATGAGCCTGTTCATTTTGCTGCTCTGAATTGAGCTTACTACCTAAAACTACGGGCAACAGCCACAGAAACAGAGCCTACCCCTGCCAGCTCTACTGGGAGGATCAAGGTCAATATGCAGAGACCCTACAGGCAAATCCCAAAGAGAAGTCTGTGGAAGAGGCTGCTGTGCACATGCCCAATTGCTATTTCCAAACTGACTAATGAGGCAAGTCATTCTTTGCATAGGGAGGGAAGAATGATGGGACTTAAAAATGAAAAGTGTTTCTGTTATTCACCCCTCCACTTGAAACCAAGAAGACTACTAAGGAACCACATGGACTGCTAAGGATCGCCTTAACACTAACTATTAGTAGAAAAATTTGCAACCTTTGTAAGCAAGGAGGAGTGAGGGGCCAAAGAAAACAATCTTCTTAGCATCTTTACCTCCCTCCTGAAGTTGAGCTGTGATGTTGAGTTCACACTGTACTTTAGCCTTCAGCAAAAGGACAATCTGCTCCTCTATAGTAAAGGTGTCATCAGAATCCAGCTGTAGAAATGAACAAAATACAAACATTCCCATCATCCTTTTTTAAGCCAAGATACAAGCTTCTATTATTTTGATTTCTAATACAATTGAAAATAAATTTTGATATCAAGCTATCTGGAATAGTACTTTATCTGATTAAAAATTTAAAATCCAGGGGCCAGCAGGTGGCATGATGGTTGAGGTGCTGGATTCCCATATAACCAGTCATGATTTGAGGCCCAGACCTGAAGGCTTGCTTTCTCACTTTCTCTCTTTCTCTCTAGTAAGTGCTTATGCCCTATAGTGAATTAAAAAATAATAATAAATAGCACTAAATAATTCTTAAAGAGTTTTACTTTAGAAATGTTAAATTCATCAATGTGTAAGATTTTAGAATAATCTTATTTTATCTGATTGGCCTAAAGGAAAAAACCATACTAATAAATGTGAGGACATTATAATATAATTTAGTAATTATATCACAAATAATACAATAATTAGAAAAAATAATAAACATTGAAAATGTCCTGGAATGCTACGAAGACATAATATGTTATTAATTCTCTTACAACACATCAGTCATGGCATATAGAAAAAGAAATGTACAGTAAGACTAAATTTAGCTCTACCCAAAATTAATCAGTGAAATCTAAGCAAATCACTCAACAATATATTTGAACTTGGGTATATTCATCTTTGAAATAAATTAGTTACTCCAAATGGTCTTTAGTTACCTTTATACCTTAATCCTGAGACTCTGTAATGGTAAGATATGCACCAACATATTTATTATCCTTTCAATTATTATTTGTTAAATCCTTTTTTTAAAAAATAGCATGCTTTGTATGAAAGACTTTCACGTTCACATATTTTAATGCAATATGGTTTATTCCAGTAAAAAGTTCTGAGAAAATCTCATCTATATATATAAGACAGCAGAACTGCCCTGGCTGAAGCCTGAGGAAGGCAATAGCAGAATCACATTCTCTCGCTAATCTGAACATTCCTTACAATTGACCCTGCTCTGAAAAATCACAGGACTTCTCGCAGCTTTTTCAAAAAACCACTACTGAGGGGCCAGCAAATAGTGTAATGGTTAGGTCTCTGGATTCCGACATGGCCAACTTTGGTTCAAGTCTTAGACCCAGTGGCTTGGAAATCATGCTGGGCGCATGTGCATGTGTGCCCAAGATCCCAGGAGGAAAATAAAGAAGGGACTTTGGCATGGCCATTCCCCCTGGAGGTTGATTTCTCATTTTCCTACTCACTGTCTCTGTCTCTCTCTCTCTCTCTGGTAAATACACATGCCCTAAGACAAAAAACTCTTAAAAAAAAGAAAAAGAAAGACAAAAAACCACTATTGCTAGAAATATAAAGATTATAATAGCATTCAATAGAGCCCAGCACCAGCCCATATGCTGCTTTCTACTGGGTACTTTTCACTAGCTGTCTTGATACCTACTCCTATCCTGAAGTACTTTTCTAACATAAGTGAATAATCAATGTTTGTTGGATTATGTCACATAGATTTGGCTTTAATACCATTCTAGTCTATTATTAGAAAATGTTAATTTTAATTAATATACTTTAAGTGTGATTAAAATATTCACAAATATTGGTTCGGAGCATGGTGCTTGGATCACCTGAACATAATGCCCGGGTAAACTGTAGATCCTTAGGCTGCACACCAGACCCCGAGGATCAGAATTTCCTTTTGGAAGTCAAGACTGGAATCCTCATGTTTCACAGGAAACCCTGACAATTCGTGAGTTTACTTTATTGGGTCTGAAAACCAACAGAGTTGAAGGTATGAGATGATGGTGAAAATCTTTCTATCAGTTGAGATTCAATCAGAGAACCAGACTAGTAAACTATTACGATAGACTATGGAGAAAGGGAGAGAGACAGGGTAGAAACAGAGAGAGAGAGATGAGGTAGAATAAACTACTTGGTATAGGGGTTTGATCTTATGCAATTGTGGGAGCTGCTTTAATGTCTCTGGAAAGTACGTTTTTGTGTCAGATTTTGGAACTAAAAATTCTACAAGTAAGGTAGTTAAAAAGGAAAAAAGAAAAGAAAAGAAAAAGATGAATAGAAAGGTAGAAAAAGTAAGACCAAGCAGAAAACATGACAGAGATACAATCACAGGACGCACTAGAATCCATGTTAGTTCTTGGTGCCTGCACCCTTGATGTGGCTGTGTGACTGAAGTCGTCACCCTTCATCATAAACCTAAACATACACTTGGCCCAGGAATCAGAGAAGCTAAAGCAAGATCCAGGGAAAGGTAGAGCAGTTACACTGCTAAGGAGATGAGCTAACAGAGAAGTAATAACATGTGCGAGATACATAAGAGCCTGTCTTACTATCTGAGTATAAAAAAATAAAATGGCTGGAGTCAGCAGGTGCCATAGTGGTTAAGGTGTTGGACTCTCACATGGCCGACAGAGATTCAAGTCCTGGACCCAGTGACTTGAAACTCACACTGGGCATGTGTGCATGTGTGCCCAAAATCCCAAGAGAAGAATGGAGGAGAAGGAATTGTGGCATGGTTATTCCTCCTAAAGGGTGATTTCTAGCTTTCTGTCTGACTCTCTGGCAAATGCATAGGCCCTACGGCAAAAATCTCTTTAAATAAATAAAATGACGATGCTTTCACTTCTGCTCTCCAATTTTTTTTTAATTGCCAGAGGGCACTTGCAAGGGAGAGAGAGAGAAAGAGAAACAGAGAGAAACAGAGAGAACAAGAGAGAGAGAATCCTTCAATGGAGTGTGGTCATGCCGTAATCCCTTCTCCTTCATTTCGCCATCCTGTTAGGATAAGGGGCACTCGTATGTGTCTGACGTGTTTTTCAACCACGGTCAGCAGTGTGGGAATTGGTTCCCTTTACCACTAGGCTGGCTATGCAACTGGTCCCAATTTTCACTTTTAAAAATGTCTCTTGTGTCTGACCCTACCAGAAACATAGAGGGAAGGGAATTCTGGGAAGTACAGTTTAACAAAACCATGAAAATTCACCTCTGTAACAAAGCACCCATACACATCTAATTAAACCACAATTAATTTTTTTTAAAAAAAATGGTGGGAACCAGCAGATGGCATAATGGCTACATCACTGGACTCCCACGTAGTCTACCATAAAGAGTCTTGGATCTAGCGACTTAAAACTCACAACAGGCACATGTGAGTGCGTGCCCAAGATCCCGAGAGGAGAATGAAAGAGAAGGGATTGCGGGGTGGCCATCCCCCTGGAAGTGATTTCTTGCTTTCTCTCTGTCACCTTGGCAAGTGCATGTGCCCTACAGCGAAACTCTCTCTCAAAAAAAAAAAAATGGTAACAAAGTCATGCTTTAATTTAACATGATACAATTCATTGGTACCCCATCTCTGGTACCAGGAGTGGTCCCAGAGGAACAGAATCATACGGGGGAGGGAGGGGAATCTTCATTTGTCTGCATTTGTCATATAAAACAAATTACTCCTAAACTTTGTGTAAGAAATTACTCCTAACCTCTGTAGCTTAAAACAACAAACATTAATTTTTTTTTCACTTGAGACATACTTTGCTGTGTGTTTCCGGCTCAGGGTCTCTAGTGAGACTATAGTCAAGACTTTGATCATAGATACTCCCACTTAGAGACTTGTCTGCAATTAAAAGGTCCACTTCCAAGATCCCCACTCGCATAGTTACTGACAGGGGCCTCTCTGTTATCCAGAGATGGTTGGGAGGAAACCTCAGGTCCTCACCTCATGGTTCTCTTCGTATGCACTTCGTAACACACCACTGCCTTCCCACAGATTCCAGAGAGAAGGCAAGGAGGAAGTCACAATGCCGCTGATACATGAGGCTCAGATGTCCTTCATGGCTAATTCCACTGTATTTTACTTAAAGCACGTTTCTAACGCTCAAGGGAAGAGAAATTAACCTCCTCTTCTTAAAAAGAAACATCCACACTGTAATGCTATATGGTGATTAAATGTAAATTTAAGTATAAATTTTAAAAATAAACACACCGAAAAAAAGAAGTATTCCAAAATTGAAAATAAATTTTTAAACAACCACAATTTTCTCTAGGTGGCCATTATTTTCTAGAAAAAGAATATCGACCATGATGTTTTCTATAGATTTTTTTCAAGAATAATGAAGTTTAGAGCTTTATATTTCTGCTTACTTTCAGAGACCTAGAGATTTTTAAATCAAACACGATGATAAAACCAGTCAATTTACTTACGTGACAAGTTCCTATTAATACAATCTTTATAAATCCCTAATCTCTCATTTCAGGCTGCAAACACACTTATTTTATTTTAGAATCATTTTTTTATGGAAAGTGTGAAAACAAACCTTTTTTATATTGTACAATAAGATATTATAGACTGAACATTAGAACTAGAAAGATGTTTATATCATTGGCCGTAGGAAGTCTACTTAGAGATTATTGAGCAGTATGATTTTAAATAATGCATAATATGATAGACTGGAGGGTTAAACTGAAATGGAGGTTATAGAAAGAAAATCGACTGTAAAAACTCGTTTCAGGATCAAAAATTCTTATTCCTGAAAATGATGACTTTAACACTTTCTTATGTATTTATAGACAAAGAGAAACTCAGTGAATAGTCAAGTATATAATTGCAAAGATTTCTGGATTATATTCATAGCGTAAAGTCCGCATTTATTTTAGTGATTTTTTTTTAAGAAAGGAAACAATAAGCAAAAATCTAATTTGGGGGTTTGGAATACAAGTCAGAATTTTAGTTCTCAGGATAAGGCAACACGAAGTCTGAGTTAGAGGCACCCATGCTAAAAGCCACCCTAAAATTCCACATATCATACAGATGAATGGAAGTAGATGGCTCATTCGAGGGGGATGACAGAAAAATTGACTTCTTCCCCTTCATTCCATAGAAGCCATCAGCCCCCATTCAAGTTTTGGGTTTGGTTTTGTTTTTCCCTGGCTGTTCTTTTAGTTTTCATTTTTGCTTTAAGGTAAAACAGTTACTTTCTTTTACTTTAACT